CATTCGACCTTCAATGCAAATCATTTAATGTTATCCGCACTCAGTGTGACCCCATTGACGTCTCCAATGCCAGCCAGTGTTGCCCCCACACACAGAGTGGTAAATAGGCAACGAGATCAAGATCAAGAATCCAATCGAACTCAATTCTGGTGACCAGATTCTTGCGGGGGATACTCGTGCCATTTGTCTAGCCATTTGCCTAGGTCTAGGCCACAGCCATGCCCATGCTTATGCCAATAATGGTACGTGTATCTATAGCCAGAGGCTTGCCTAGCCTTTCCCCAACTGTTCTTGTTCTCTCTCTCTCTCTCTCTCTCTCTCTCTCTCTTTCTTTCTCTGCCTTTTTGTCTCCTAACCGATCGATTGTCTGTCTACCTGTCTGGCATTCGCTTTATAAATATCAATTTCCCACTGATCCGATCAAACAGCAGCAACAACAAAGTTCTGGCTCACCCTCCTCACTCCTCACTCCTCTCTGCCAGTCTGCGGCGATTCGATGTTAAGTTCAATGTTGAAATTAGCATAAAATACCGTTAATTGCATTAGCATTAGCCCGAGTCTAGCCCGGACTAGAGCTCGAGCTCGAGCTCGGACTCGGACTCGCCCCCGTCTCGTCTTGGCTCCCACACCGCAACGGCGAAACGGCGAAACGGCGCAACGGCGATCAATTGCGTTGTCTCTGCCACGATTACCGATCACCGCCGATCCCCAATCCCCAATCCCCCGGTCTCTCCCCCTCCCCCTACCCCTCTCGCCCCCTCTGCTTCAGCAGCATTCAACATTCGATTGCACTTTTTATGGCGCATTCTTCGCGTATATGTCACGGAATCGGCGACAGCAGTTATCCTTGAGCATGTTGCCTCTGTCGCGCTGCTGCTGCTGCTGTTGCTGTTGCTGTCGCAGCGCAGTCCAGTCGCTGCCAGCGTCTGTCTTGCTTTTCCGACATTGCATTGCGCATACGCGCCGTTGCCTTAGCCATTTCTCAGTATTTAGCCGCGGGCCCATCCATAAAAATGAAAATACGAATAAAAGTACATAAAAATAAGAATATAACAAAAAGAGATGCTCGACAAGTGGTTCATCTGGGACTGGAGCTGCCCTGTACAAGTGACTCGATGTTGAAGGTCACAGAAGTATCCAGTACCACCAACTTTAGATACACAGATACAAAGCATGGACAGATCTTTCCAATTCCCCCCGTAAGGGATCTTCTATTGGCTTCAGTTGGGAAGCATTGCCTGGTCTTATATGCCATCCAATCGCTGGTAAACCTGATGTATTCCGATTGGAAGGGTAGCTATTAATAGCCGATCGATCAACGATAGCTATAAAATATGATTATTGTTGTTGCTGAAGCCGCTCCAAGTGCCGTTATGCGCAGCTTTAGATAGATCTGGCTGTTTCTTTATACATATAAAACATTTATATGGTATGGTATGTGGTAGATATTGACTGCTGCTCGGAGGCGGCTTAGCCCTGACCATAGAACGGCTACAGACAGAAGATTGTGTTCAGGGTTGGCAGTGGAAGATATTGAAAATACACTCAGAGAAAAGGGTCATGGAAAACGAACCACAATCACATTTTTAAATACAAAAATAGCCATTTAAAAATACATAAATTCATTAGAAAGTCTTTTTAAGTCCTTCCATATTTAATCGAAATAAAAACCAACATAAACAGAATATATATTATTTGTGCATTTGTAGGAAATATGTCTAATCTAAATATGAAACATATTTATTTTAGAAATTAAAGATTAACACTCTTTGGGTTAGAATTTTTCGGTCTACCCTCTTAGGGCTTTTTTTCATGGCCTCTGTTCTGCGACGATCCAGGGGGAGACGAGAAAATTGAAAATATTATGAGGAATGGCAGGAAAAGAATCGAAGGCGGAAGGATCGGACGGAGTGGGGTGGAGTGGAGTGGAGTGGAGCGGTGCCAAGTGCCAAAGCGAGAAGAAAGCAGCAGCGTACACATAGAGAGCTGTGGAGAAAGGAGCGTGAAGGGGGAAGAGTGAGGAGTGAGGAGTGAGGAGTGAGGAGCGAGGAACGAGGAGAGTGGAAGCGTGCGTAGAGATAGCTGGGCAAATACAAGTAAAATATTTGACCCAGTTTCCAGACGGTGTCTCTGTGTTCGTACTTGTGTGCCTGTAGTTGTATACTAAATAATTTGTTGCTGTTATTTTCCTCTATCGCCGAAAAATATGTATTATTAATTCGTACGTGCGTGCGTGTGTGTGCGTCAGTGTGTATGTGCCGTACCCTCCGCTGATCGAGCGTATCAGCTGTGGGCAGGCAATTGATCATCCGCGGCGGGGCAGAGCATTTCCGCTTCGTCTTCGCCCTCTCTCCCACTCTCCCACTCTCTTTCTCTTTCTCTGTTGATGTTTTATGCCGGGTGCGAAGAACATGAATAAACACACACACACACACACACACACGCGCAACCGGCAAAAGCAAACAAATTGTTCGTTCACCAAAAAAAAAAAAAAGAAATAATTTTTTGTTTAAACTTTTTTTTTCGGTTAGAAAAAGAACTCGAAACACCGATGACTGCCGATAAGATAAAGCCACACTACAACAACGCCAAAAATAGGAAAAATATTAAAAAAAACTAGGAAAGAAATTTTCGGGAAAAAGTTTAAAAAACCACACACACGCACACACACACACACAGAGGCGGACACATGCATAAACACACTTTTTTCTTCTATTTCGAAACGCTGGCGACCTACTTGTTTGATATGTGGGGGCGTGGACACATAGAGGGGGACACACGGCTTGGGGTGGGGGGTAGGAGGATGTGGGGAGTGCTGCCGAAACAGCCGTGTGCTGCTTTCGGCATTTTTCTGTTATTCATTGTTAAAAAAAAAAAAAAAACGAAAACAACACAAGAAATAAACCGAAAAAAATGATTGTAAACAAAAATAAACCTTCAACTTGATACGCGTCCAGGGATGTGTTGAAGGTGTCCCCGATAGAGAGACAGATAAAGACGGCGAGAGAGAGGGAGAGAGAGATGTACATATGTATGTGTGTGTGTGTGTGTGTGTGTAGATAGAGATATGAGGCAAGCAGCTGTGTGCGTGGAACTATCGGCCGACCAAGGCGAGGGCACAACAGCCACCGATACAGATGCAGATACAGATACAGACCCCGATACAGACCCCGAAAGATCTCTCAATGTCTCATACACCTTTCCACAATTAAGGGGCAGTCGCGGGTGGGGCCGGGGCCGGGGGCGGGGGACACACGATATATAGGTCACCAGCGAACAAAAATAGTGATCGTGGGGTGGCAAGAGAGAGACTGCTGGCGGTAATTAGCGCATAGAAGACCAAAGAATAGTCCCAGGAAAAGAATAGTCGAAGTGGAAATCAATCATGAAACGTGTCTAGATCTCGCTACTCTAGAGATCTTCAACAGTCCTCTTCTCTCCAGTCATCGAGAATTTTCTTTCGAGAATCATAAATACAGATTACACCCATCCCATCGTTGGGTTCGATGGCAGACCATTCATCGGTCATACAGGGAAATTCGCCCTCTAGAAAACCCAGAAAACCATTCCAGAAAACCCCCAACATTGAAGATCTAGTAGGGGTAGTAGTAGATACAGAACATTGAATGGATTCCAGCTCTACACAAGACCTTCCATTAGATATAGATACGTATCTTTAAATATGTAGAACATTTACGTTTCTTTCTCTACTCTTCATACAGTACGTTCTTCTCGAACTTATCTATGCTTCAATACTGTCCTCCCATCAAACTCTTCTGTTTTCTCGCTCGTTCCATTCCAAATCTTGTCTCCACCCTTGTCCTTTAACCTTTTCGTTGCTCTTTTCACTATCTGCTGGGATTTCCAATCCATATTATAATCACCCTCTCGCTATCCTTGAACCCCCATCTGTGCCTCGAACCAAAAGGTTCTCTTCGGGCTGTCCCCAAATCTGATCTCTTTCCCCTACATACATCTCTTGCCCTACATATCCGCCACAAATGTGGAGCAGACAAGAATTTTGTCATCCAGCAGCACCGGCAGCAGCAGCAGCAGCAGCAGCAAAGAAAACCCACACATATTTTCAAGTTCTTGGCCCAGCGCCCGTCGCCCATCAACTGGCGACTGGGGAAAGGGCAGTGGGTGTGGGTGGGGAGCAGTGAAAAATATTGATGCTCACTCAAATTGTTGTTGCTGCCTAAAATCGATCCCTGGGCGATTGTTGCTGTTGCCGTTGCTGTTGCCGTTGCTGTTGCCGTTGCCGTTGCCTGTCATTCATTGTCGACGCAACTGTCAAAATTGACCCAAAAAGCAGCCGAAAGAATAAAAAATGATGACTAAAATCCGAAAAACGAAATGAGAATTTGAAAAAGCGCAGCAGAGCAAGGGCCAGAGGGGTCGTTGAGGAAATTCGAGCAGCCCTGTTGCTCCCCACGTCCCCCCTCCTCGCTTGTGGGAAATCCGAGATAACGGTGTGCATTTAGTCCCACATCGAAAAGAAAAGAATAGAACAGAACAGAACAGAACAAAACACTTCACTTGACCGACAAATGCTCACCCAAATGGGAAATTGAAATGGAAGAATGGATGGTCTGTGGACTGTATAGAATATCTGTATTATGCAACACTAGTCGTATCAGCCCCAACGAAGCCACAACGAATCGAAACTGGAACAAGCCATCGAACTTGCTATACTTTGGGCATATTTGCGGCGAAGCCTCGTGATTATGCGATCGATAAGTCGATAACTTCAGAGTATGCTCAATCGACTATCGATTGGATTGGCATCGTTTGTGTGGGCTTCTTCAACGCGTTCATCGTTCGATAATTTGTATACCGATTCGATTGTTATCCAGATATGAATGCTTTTGAGTGGATCCTATGGTTCCTAAGGGACTAAAAGCCACTAAAAAACCTGTATATAAATGCTAGACTAATTTATTATTTCATTATCAATTCAATATCTGATGACACAATATCGATATTCTTTCCAATTTCAGTTCTAAGAGGGAATGACGCGGGCATTTCTTTTGCAGCGTTGGACTTTCGTTTTATAAGGTAAGTGCCATGGGTCACGGGTCACGGGTCACGCGTTACGCGTCACGTCACGATTCCAGTAGGTGAGAATTGATACGGACTAGATTTATGGTTAGGTTACCCTTCCATCGACCCCACCCGCCCACTCTACAGGTGTACTAGTGGGGGGTGGGGCTGTGGGCTCGCGCCAAGTTCGAGCCGCTTCTGGGCGCCCCTACAGATGCACCAAAAAGTTCGTATATGTATTATGTGCTTATGTATATGTGTATGTATGTGAAATGTGAAATATATGATGTGTGTATGGGTGACCCAGAAACATAATGCCAGTAAAACAGAAACAAACAACAGCAACAACAACACCAACAACAACAACAGATTGTCAGCATTTTGCACTTTTCCGGACAGACTTCTCCATATCTCTCTTCCTCTTGCTCTGTCACTGTTTCTTTCTCTCGTTCTCGCTTCTTTTGGGCTTCTCATGAACTTCTCTGTTCTCTGGTCTCTGCTCTCTGTGCTCTGCTCTTCTGCTGCTCTGCTGCTCTCTTTTCTGTTCACTTGACATTCGATTCGACAATATGTTTGGCCACATAAAAAATCCACAGAAACAAAATAAATAAAAAATACCCATAAAAATATAATAAAACAAAAAAAAACAAATAAATATGAAATTAAAACAATATTTTTTGGCCCCAATTTGGTCGTTGTTGTTGGCTTTTTCTACCACATTCTGCCGAATGCAACGACAACAAGAAAATAACCGCTCTACAGGCCCTGCCTAGCATTGTCTCTGTCTTCCTCTATCCGCATCTCTCTCCCACTTACCACTTACCACTCCCCTCCCTCCGCCCTCCCACCTCCCCCACTCTTACGTCTGTTGCAATGGTGGCGTATACGTAATCTTGTTGTTTGCTTCAGCGTTCAGCCTGCCGTTGGGGTTTTATGCAAATGGCGTTCAAGGATTTTTGTGTGAAAGTTGTTGAACCTCACGACTGGCAATTAGAGTATAACTTGTCTCTACACACACACACACACACACACACGTACGCCACATATGTATGTGTGCACCCAATGCATAGATGTATTGCAACTTTCGATCTACGTATGGGAAACCATGGTACCCATGGGATGGTATGGTATGGTATGGTATTGTAGAGGAATCTTCAATCTTTCGCTGCCAAAACTTCAGGCTATTTCCTGCATATAAGTAGACTCATTTGATTTTTAGAATATTTTAATATTTTTACATGTTCTAATCGATATTTTGAGTGGCCTTTGTTCGTTTCCTTGGCCTTGGCTTTTCCATACGTAATTTAAGTAGAGTTTCGAAATCCTGACCTATGCAATTCTCTACATGGCATTACTGAATCGACATTCAAGTGATATTGGGGATACTTCCACTATTCGCCACCCAGAATATAACATAACATTGCTGCTGATCGGAATCAACAGCATACAACTTTCAGAATCGTAGAATAATCGCAATCATGAGTCCTTTCTGCTTGTGCCCGTTCGTTTATGGGACATTTTGTGCGGTGAACAGGGGTGCTAGAACGGATCGCGTATAATCATCCAAACACACGCTGAAAGGACGATCGGCTGATGGCCTTTCCTTCTAGTTTACTCCTTTGCATATGGCCATATGGTGACCATAACGACTAGAGGCGGGAGGTCCCCACTGCCACCCACTGCCCACTTGGCGGTGAGGGGTCGCACCGGCCCCGAGTCGATTCCTGAAAAAAAAGAAACAAAAAAACAGAAATGCACGAAAAGTGCACGCAACGCGCGAATGCCAAGCAAATAAACAAACAAAACTGCATGTGCACATGTATATATATATGTATATATGTATGTATGTATGTACATATACACTCGCACGTAAATACATACATATGTACGTATTGCATGTGCATGTATGTTTGTATGTACTCGCATTGTGTGCATGCTTCTATATACTGTTCCAATATCAGCCAAGGATATTCGGCTGCACTAAGTCCACATGACCTTCTAAAGTTGGTTGACTCGGTGGCTGCATGCGTCTGCAACCCCAACCCCTGCCCTGCCCTGCCCAGCCCAGCCCAGCCCCTGTGCTTTTGGGACGGGGTGTTAGCTTTTCTCTTTTTTTGGGGGGTGGGGGGAGGGGGCGTGAAAGGCGGGCGGCATATTTTTTGATTAAGCAACCGCTACTGCAAAAAAACAGGCGCGAGGGCGAGGGAGAGCCTATGATGCAAGCAGACCCACAGCGAGAGAGAGAGAGAGAGAGAGAGAGAGAGAGCTTACAGCGTTCGAGAGAGTGCAGCTGATGGGAGAGAGAGAGAGAGCATTGCTGTTGCAGCGCTGCTACTGCCATGTGCACTTGATGCCAGTTAGAAGCCCCATTCGACATCGTCGTCGGCCAAGAGCAGCGCTGCTGCTGCACCAACATCAACAGCAGCAGCGTTAGAGCAGCAGCAGCAAAAACAAGAACAACACTAACAACAACAACAACAACAAATGGCAGTAAGGAAAACCCACAAAGACGTTGTGCAGCGACTGACTTCGTTTTCGATTTCTGTTTATTTTGCTTTTGCTTTTGCTTCTTCTGCTGCTGCTGCTGCTGCTCTTGTTGCTGCTGCTGCTGCTGCTGCTGCTGCTGGTATCTCTCTCTCTTTGAGTCTCTCCGTGGTCTCTCTCTCTCCCTGCGTGTGTGTGTGTGTGTGTGTGTGGTGCTGCTTTGACAATTTTGCTTTGCGGCTGTTTTGGTGGCTGCCAGTTGCACATTTCCGTTATATCCGCCAGACCGCCGTGCAAGAAGCAGCCGCCAGCCACAGCAGCAGCACCGAGCACCGAGCACCGAGCAGCAGCAGCAGCAGCAGCAGCGAGCGAGCGAGCGCGACTAGAACTTGCCATAAATGAAAAGTGAACAACACTGCGTATGAGTAACGTTCGAACAAAAGCCCACGACAATTGTTAAAAACCAAAAAAAAAAAAATAAATCAAAACAGAAAAAAGCTAAAAAAAAGCAAAAAAAAAAACCAAATTATACCAAAGAGAGGGGCCGACAGACGGGGGAGGGAGCACAAGTGCAGCGCCGTCTGCTGTCCGCTGTCCGCTATCCGCTGCCAACGCTGCCAACGTGCCTCTGCCTGGGCTTTGTTTTGGCTCCAGCCTCGGCTCCAACTTCAGTTCGAATTGTGGCTCGGAGGCGCAGCCCCCGCGCGGCACTGTAACGCAAAAAAGATACAAAATTGGCCAAATACGGAACAACAAATACGGAGAGTACACGCGGCATGCATTTTTTTCCAGTGTTCTTAAAAGAGAGTGTGCGTGAAGAGATTCAGATCCAGATTCATGTTCAGATCGAGTAAAGTAAAGTGCCAGTGAAGAACCGAAGAAGCGAAGAACGGCAGTGCATCCCACAATCGCCACAATCGCCACAATCGCGCGCAACCCAAAAGCACAGGCCCCAAGGAGCAGCTCCCCAACGACGTCACGCCAGACTCCAGCTGCAGCGATGCCTGGCCCGGCACTGTGGTCCGGTGAGTACCCCAAGCGCTCTCAGCGATCTCTCTCGCTCAGAGAGAGGAAGAGACGAAGAGAGGGAGAGAGGGAGAGTACGCTCTCGAGATCGCTCTCTGTGGCACAGCCAAACTGCAAGTTGCATACTCGTACGAGTACGATATTTCCGCATGCCATCTCTCTCTGGCTCTGGCTCTGGCTCTCGCTCTGCTCTGCGATCAGAATCCCAGCCCCCCCTCCCGCCTTCCCACCACCGAAACGTACAACTTTCACTTTGGCACCAAGCAACATAGAGAGAGAGAGAGACAGCGAGAGAGGGAGAGTGGGAGAGGTAGAGACAAGCTTTGAGCAAAAGGCTTCCTGGCATTACAACTTACAGCAAAGCAAAAACATTTTGCGGGGCAACCCCAAAGCCAACCCTCTGCTGCGGCTCTGCGACGGTGACGGTGACGGCGACGTCTTGATTGCTGCTACTGCGACTCTTGTTGTTGTTGTTGCTCATTATAAAGTCGTAAGCCATTTACGTTATGCATTGCGTATGTGTGTGTGTGTGTGTGTGTGTGTGTGTGTGAAGCAAAATGTCAGTGAGCAATAAGGAAATGAAATGTGCGCCAAACAATTATTGCTGTATGTTACTGTTGTTGTTGTTGTTGTTGTTGCTGCTGCTGCTAACAGCATTTGCAATGTGATTTGAAATCGAAAGTGCTTGCGGACAATGGTCAACGAACGAATTGAAAGCAACAAAATCGAATCCGCAACATTACAAGACCGCAAGAAAGGGCCGAAGCTTCTGATACACTCACAGAACCATCGACTCTGGAGTACGACTTTGAGGTGCCTGAAGTACATTTCACTGATCCCTGCCTCTCGACAGATCATTCCCATAGCAGGTAGGACAGTATGTGCATACATATTGTATGTTCCAGTGCAATGCCGATGATGGGAGGTAGTCTAGTTTTCTGTAATGTTTCGTCTTCTATAACTTTGAGTTTTGTGAGGGTACAACCCACTAGGGTCCCCGGACCGGGATCGGGACCGGGGCAGGGGCCGCGGTAGAGCTGGCAAAGAGTGCCAATTTCTTTTGTCGTATTCGACCATTCCATGGCATTGGGGATTGTCTCCACTGTCCACTGTCCACTGTCCACTGACCGCTCGCTCCACTTGCTCTGCTCTGCTCTGCTCGGCTCGACTCGGCTCGGCTCTGCGTTGCGCAATCGCCTTGCCATTGCCCATTGTTAAATTATTGTTGCAATTGCTGCTCTAATTCCAATTAACTTTTACCTCTGCATGCCACCCACACACCCATCCTGCCTCAGGGACTGTCTTTGCGGCGTGATCATAGAACTTTCGATCTGAACTCCCTTTTGGGGTAGCACAGAGTGGGTGAGAGAGGGAGAGGGAGAGAGTGTGCAGAGTGGGAGAGTAGGAAGCAACAATCTATAGTGCTGCTGCTGCTGCTAGTGTTGCAGCACTCTCCCTCTCGCCAAAGCTCTCCTCCTCCCCCAAACGGCATCCTCTCCTTCTTCCTAGCCCCCTCTCGTCATCCAATGCGAGTGCAATGGCAGCTTGTGGCACAGTTTTGACACAAGGCTGTTGGAGGGGGGGGCGGCAAGGGGGGATGGATGGATGCAGGGGCAAAATGGGTGGGGAAAAGAAGCTTTTTAGGGGGCAGAAAGAAGCTTTCAGCGAGTGCGCTTCCTCCTTGCCCCCCTCTTGCTTCCCCTACTCTGTCTTAGCCGGTCAACGTCCACACAGCACGAACACAGACAAGGAAACATATGCATATGGCCATGCAACATGCATACATATGTATGTACATATGCGAGTATGTATGTATGTTGCTCTGCTCAAATTCTAATTTGAATGCAATACTTACATATGTGTGTGTGTGTATGTGGTGCACCAAGAGGGGGGGGGGGTTGCAGTGGGGAGGGAGTGCGGAGAGAAGTCTTCTCGGTGATAGAATTTCTCTGTTCTATGCTGGCACATTTCGCCCGTTGCCATTCCAATGAACTCCAGCGGATAGGTGCGGGGGAGGGAGGCAGGCTGGTGGCAGGCAGGCGGGCAGGCAAACAAACATGCAACTGTTAGAGCCCCAAGCGGGCGGGAGAGAAAGAGAGAGCTGCTGCCTGCCTGCCCGAAAGCATAACTATGACGTCGACGTCGTTCGGTTCGGCTAAGTATGTTCGTATGCTCTCGTGCCTAGGCCTCTGCTTCTGCCTCTGCCTCTGCCTCTGCCTATTCCTCTGTGCTTGTGTGTTGGTGTTGACGTGCGCTTGCTTTTGTTGTATTTGCTGTGTGCTTTTTTCCTTTTTTTTACTTTTTGTCTATTGGTTTTCATTTTCGTTTGCAGTCAGCGCCGCTGCTCTGCTCGGTGCCGCCAGCTGCGCTGCCGCTGGTCTATGGCTATGTCTATGTCTATGTCTATGTCTATGGCTCTGCTCCACTCTGGCACTGCTCTGCCGAGCTTCTAATGTCTGGCCTGCGCGCCGATCGCTGGCAGCGACTTCGGTAGAAATAGTTTTGATGGAGCTTGGGGAGTACCGCCGGCGATGGGCAGACAGAGAGAGACAAAGAAAGGGAGATAGAGTGAGTGAGTGAGTGGGCCAGGGGGAGTGAGAGTGAGAGAGGGCGAGGGCGAGGGAGAGAGTGTGGGGAGGGGAGTGAGTGTGGCGGCAACGTCTACGCCTGCGCTGGCATAGCTTGGCGCTGTTTCTGTTGCTGCTGTTGCTGCTGTTGCTGTTGCTGTGGCTGGCAGCAGCAACGACGGCAACGCCGACGACGACGACGACGACCGCGACAGTGGCAGTGGCAGCGCTTTTGTGGCTGCTGCTTTCTTTCGCTCGCTTACTCCTTTCATTTCACTTTATTTCGTTCGCATGCACGCACGTTGGCCGCGGAGAGCAACATCCCAGAGCAACACTAACAACAACAACAACAACAACAACAAAAACAGCAGCCCAGCAACAGCCCAGCAACGGCTGCCGCTGTCGTCGTTGTCGTCGTCGTCGTCGCCACACGGAAGAGATTGCAAGCTTCGACTCCGAGCTTCGACTCTGACTCTGACTCCGAATCCGAATCCGACTTCGACTCCAAACTCAAATCCGAATTCAAATCCGACTCCGGGTCGGACTTGGACGGGTTCCGTTCCGTGTTTAAGTTTTAGTTTCGATTCGATTCGATTTGGCGCCTCAACGGATTGCGTTGCCCGGTCCCAGCAGCGGTAACGGTTCTCGGCTAACGGACACATGTGTATTCCGATCTGATCTCTTCAAAAGTTACGGCTACGGTTACGGCTACGGTTACGGTTACGGTATCGAGATCCCCGGAACAAGAACGTTTTTTGTTTCTGTTGCAAATGCATAAATGGATATAGTACATACAGATATATTTTTTTTTGTTGGATATTGTAACTGAAGTTTGAAATTGAAATTGAAACTGAAACTGAATTCGAATTCGAAATCGAAAGCAAAATCGAGAGTTTTATGCGTACTCGTATGTAAAGTATATAGAGGCAAGAGTTGAGCCAAGAGTGGTATGTCCCATTAGTCTGACCCTCGACCCGACCCGACCCCGAATATATCCCTACCCCGTCCCCCGCATACACACACATACACACACACAAACACGCGCGCGCGCACGGACACAGAGACAGACACACACACACACACTCACATATCCCATACCCCATATCCAGTCTCATTTCTCAAGGACAAAACGGAAGTGCCCGGCGATCCAGTCCAATTTAAACGGTTCTGTTCCGATCCATTCCAATCCCATTCGATCCATTCTGTTCCGTTCTGTTCCACATCTATCGATATCGACATCAACATCGACATCGACATTGATATCGTTTGTTTGTTTTTTTTTTGAGTGGTTTCTGTTTCTCATTGGCAATGGACGCAGACGAAGAAACGGGATAGGACCCAGACCCCAAGCATATCCTATAATCACTTTTTTTATCTGTGTGTTGTTTTTGATTCAACAATAATCGAAGAGCCACGAGAGGGCAGAGGGCAGAGTGCAGTAAAAACCAATCAAAATAATCGGAAACAAAAATAGCAAAGAAAAACATTTACCTGCTACTGTGATTCCAAAAAAGATATCGGACTAGGAATAAAGTACTGCGGATAACACATCCACTGGAAGCCCTGGAAGGATGAGCAGCCGGAAGCAGCCGGGAAGCCAGCATGGCCAGAGCAATCGCAACGGTTAACCTGCATCTGCCCACCTAGGATCTAGGATCTAGGATCTACCCACAAGACACCACCAAATGAGCGCCACCAACCAGCCGCTGATCCTCGAGCCGCAGGCCAGTGGGCCGACACCAACTGTTGCTGCTGCTGCTTCCGCCGACGTTGCAACAGAGGACTGTGGCACACCAGCAGCATCAGCAGCAGCAGCAGCAGAGACGGCGGTTAGGGCAGCCGCAGCTGCAGATGCCCTCGACTCGTGCCTCTGCGTGGCTGGGAGTGGTAGTGGAAGTGGGAGCGGCGAGGTCCGGCTAAATGGTCACGAGGATCCGAGGAACCTGGTCAACGGCAGCCGACATGCCGGACACAATCACAGCAACAGCAACAGCAACAACAACCACAGCAGCAACAGCAACAAAAGCAACAACCACAACAGCGGCAGCGGCGATGACCACAACAACGATGGAAGCAGCGACAACAACGACATCGATGACCCCTCCGTCAAGGATGTGCTTCTGGACAACAACAAGCTAATCATCATCAAGACGCCGTTGACCAAGACGTTGCTGAAGAAGTGCACCATCAGCAGCAGCAGCAACAGCAACGGCACACTGCCCCATGCCACACTCAATAACAGCAACAGCAACAGCAAAAACAATAATAACAACAACGGCAGCGGCACCAACACCAGCACCAACACCAACACCAACACCAACACCAACAGTGGCCGCAGCAACAGCAACAGCGGCAGTAACAGCAACAATAACAGCGCTGTTAGCGGCGCCGTCGACTTGGCAGACGCCTGCGATGATTCCGGTTTGCAAGGCGGAAATAGCAATGAACAAGAAGCGTTTCCGAACGATCACCATCACCACCATTACCACCACCACCATCATCACTACCATCATCATGGCGAGGGCGGCGACAAGGGCAGCGATAATGCCGCAGCCTCCGGTTCGGGTTCTGGTTCTGGCTCGGGCTCGGGCTCGGGCTCGGGCTCTGCATCTCCGGCGGAGCTGTCGATGGTCAAAACCGAGCAGCAGCAGCCGGAGAATGACTCTACGACAGCAACATCTATTTCACCAACAGCAGCAGCAACAACATCGGCAATAGCAACAACAACAACAGCAGCAGCAGCAGCAACAACTCCAACAGCAGCCACACCATCCGCAGTGACACCAACAACTTCTCCATCTTTGGCCCTGAATGCGTGCCATCCGAGCAAGTGCAACAAGTGCAATTCCCACAATAACAACAGCAACAGCAACAACAATAATAATACAATAAGCAGCAACAACAACAACAACAATAATAATAATAATAATAGCAGCAGCAACAGCATCAATAATAATAATAACAATAATAGCAACAACAACAACAACAATATTCATTACAACAATTACAATAACTATTATAAGAAAAAGTCTCGTATGCCGCCCATTTGCCGTTAGTATTGTTTTACCATATATTGTACAATATTCTTTCTTCGCATCATCCCACACCCGTAATCATAAAGCGTATGGTGATCTGATCCCTCTTGAACCGCCCAACCACCCAGCCACTCAGCCGCCCAACCAACCACCCCCTCACTCGCCCACCCCCACCCCCACAGCCCACACCCTCAAGCACAGCCTCTCATCTAATTCCCTCTACCCTCTACCACAAAATTCTAGTCAAACAAATCAAACAGAACAAAATAAGAAAACAAACACGAAAATTGATCAAAATTTCAAAATCCAAAAGTGAAAAAAAACGTGAACAAATTGGCAACCACAACCACCCCCCGCACCACCACCACCACCACCACAACCACCACCCTGTAGGAAATGCATGTGGCCTGGACCCTGCCCTGCCCCAAGGCAGCGGCCAGCGGCAGTCTAGATGCTTCCTGAACCTGCAGTCACAATAATACCAAAAACAAAAACAAAAACAGAAACAGAAACAAAAACAAAACAAAAAACAAGAAACCAAAACACACACACAACAAGCAACAAGCAAAAAATCAAAAGCAAAAGCAAAAGCAGCAGCAACACACAAATGCAAAAGAAAAGAAACACCAACAAGAAAACAAAACCAATCGGCAAAGAAGAGAATTTTTTGTTTTTATCCAAATTTGAGAAATTGGCAAAGACAAGAACAAACCAAATTACAATGACATCCATAGGTAATTTTGTGACTACAATATATCCCAAAACCAAAAGAATACCACTAACCGTAGACATACCACACGCCAGACCCCCAATCCCCCCCCCCTACTACTAAGAGTTTCAGAGATGGAAGTGGAGCAAGAGAGCCGCTGGGGAGTCTGATAATTGTAATTAAATTGAAATCTCATTGGACTCTCCCTCAGCCCGCCGTCCCAGTTCCATCTATGGAATATCGACTAAATATACTATCTAACAACTAAGCAAAGCAAATATTTATTAAATACTTATTGTCTGCCATATATACATACACATACAATACTCGTGTATGCAATAAGTAGGAGTACTCCAATTGAATGCATATCGAAAGTTCACGAACTACTTGATACTCGTGCGTTTTGAATAGGGACATTCCCCCCACCCCCTGGAACATTATTATCTCATCATTTCTCTCGTACTCGGAATACTCCGATAGGGGGCACAATTTCCCATAAAGAAACGGATTTATGGTAGCCATTGTGGGTTTATTCGTGTCGTTCTTAACTTTCTTTTTACCAATGCACTTGAAACTTTTGTGATGTGATCCCAGAGACCAGAACAGAACTTTGTACCATACATATGTACACTGTCTGTCTGCCTGCCTGCCTTATAGGAATGCAGTTTCTGTTGATCTGTGGATCTTCAGCTGGAACAGGTACACAACAAAGATTGTACGGGGGAATATCCATATCTACATACATACATATATCTATTTTCCATATGCATGTCTCCAAATACACACAGATACAGATACAGATACAGATACAGATACAGATACATATAGCATGTATATGTGGGCTCCACGCGCCTACACTGACGAAAGATATACATAGAGAGGCACGCATGGTTTTATTGTTTAGAATAATCTTGCGCTTGATAATGAAAATAGGTCAAATTTTAAAAATACACACACAAACGACATTGTAGTCGTTCCCCAGTCGTCGGTCGTCGGTCGTCATCGACTGAGCCGACGCGTTCGGGCAGACAGACAGACAGAGAGAGAGAGAGAGAGAGAGCCGAGTGCCGAGTGCCGAGTGCCGATCGCCGTTCGTGTGTGGGGGGCATTTGGAGCCGAAGTTCTGAGTGTGCGTGAAGAAATCGCCATTAGATAGATACACGCGCAATGCGCACACATTCACGCACCCGTACGGGAGACGGGAGGCGGGAGGCGGGACGGGAGAGAGATGGAAATGTCGTTGCTGGGCCAACGCACCAGTGACCGACCAAAGCGACTGGAGAGAGTGCGTCGGAGAGTGTGAGACTGGGAGGGAGAGAATTTCTGTGCAAGTGCCACACCAACTCCGACTCCTAATCCAGCTCCAGATCGAACTCCAGACCGTTGTATTGTAATCTCTGGATCGCTGCGATCTCTGATATCAGACGAAGAGGCTCGACCCCTTGGGTGGGAACTGGCCCAGACCGATCAAGTGCCGATCTCTCAAGTTGATTTGCGCGGCGAATCGGAGTCGGCGAATCTTGTCCTAACCAGTTCTGCACTTGGAAGCTCGCGCTTTGTCCGATCCGTCACCTGTTCGAGCCCCAACCATCATCATCTGTTCTTTTTTTGTTTTTTGTTTTGGATCTGTATCTGTGCGCTCTGTGGAAGGGAAGTAAATGCAAATTTTTGTTATTTGTTTATATTCCATCAACATCGCACAGAAACCACAAAGTAGAAACTTCCGCAACAAATAAAAATGCGAACTTATGCATATGCATGTGATCTGCATGAAAGATTGATATGGATGTGGATATGGTTTCGAGAGGCTTCGCCCTCTTTGGGCGCCTTAGGATCAGGGATCAGGGAAAATATCATACAATTAAAGGAATTTCTGCGAGTAGCTGGGGATATTGTTACACTTGTTTCAATTTCTACCTGTAATATTATAGAATGTCCGTTCCTGGTTTTAACTTGGAGAGAACTCCTCACAATCGTTACTTTTGGCTCGGGTCCACAGCTAGAAACAGGACGAAGAAAAGAGCCAGAAATATACGAGTATGTTTTAAATCCGATATGGAATCTCATCATTTGGGTATATCTTCGCTCGAGGCGAATGATCGCTGTTCGTGCCATTATGTCCGTTCACTTATGCGTCATTTGTGCAGCGCACTTTTGAGAGAGATCATTGAATAATATCAATATCAGATATAACAAAGTAACCTCCTTTACGACGTGGAGTTTGTTCTTGTAATTTTGTTCGAATCGGGATAGTTTTCTGTTTAATAAAATGATTTAGGATTTAATTTAAGCATTAATTACATGTATATTTCCCATCTTATTTAGGAACTTTTAAGATCAATAATTAACCAGTAACACGGTCACATCGTTGAATTAGAGTAGTTGTTGGAGAGATCTGATCTCATAGTTTCACATGGGATTTTCCTAAAGTTATTCCATGGAGTATTCTTATCGTTAATTTATAAATGTTCATATTTTTGGGTCCCTCGGATGTTGAAAACTTTTTAGACTTAGATTAAGGAAAGGTCTAACCAAACAAAGGATAACAAAATGCATTTAAGATGTTCGAATTGGATAGCCAAGAGGTTGTAAGCTCCATGTAGTTTGTTTCGTGGGAAGTAATAGAAGCCATTCACTTATGGTAACTTTTTGTACATCGAATCGACGTCATTCGCGTCCTGCCCGAATGTGCCTTGTTTGAGAAAGAAAGCGGCAAGACCTCAAAGGCATATTACATAAAAAGAGATGGGATTGGAGGATGCGTTTTCTACGTTTTGATATATAATATAGAATTGATTTAAACACAACCTTGGAGTAAAGTTATATACATTCCTGTATGTACATAAATGCATATGATTATATGCAATATCGGTCCAATCGGGTCCGGGCCTCCAGTGGAATCTCCCCCTAGCCTAAGCCTAAGTGTAAGCCTAAGTCTGGTGCTCCAGAGGCCAGAGTCCTGACCCTGAACCGATCTCAGCTTGAGTCCCCAACTAATTTCGTGTCTTTTCTTCCCATTTCCGCCCTCCTTTCCCCGGCCGCCATCGAACACCGAACAGGAATTATGACACTGAGCCGTGGCCCGTACAGCGAGCTCGATAAAATGAGCCTTTTTCAAGACCTCAAACTCAAACGCCGGAAAATCGATTCGAGATGCAGCAGTGACGGAGAGTCCATTGCGGACACATCGACCTCGTCGCCGGACCTCCTGGCGCCGATGTCCCCGAAGCTCTGCGACAGCGGCTCAGCCGGCGCGCTTCCCCTAGCCCTGCCGCTGCCACTGCCGCTGCCACTGAGCCTTCCGCTGCCCATGGCCCTGCCCCTGCCCCTGCCACTCACGACGTCGGCCTCGGCCGCGTCGGTGGCGGTGTCCGTGTCCCTGGCAGCGGCGTCAGCGTCAGCGGGAGCGGGAGCGGGAACGGGATCTGGAGGCGGAGGCGGAACAACAGCGGCATCGGCAGCTCACTCCGTGTCCACGTCCATATCGGCGGTAGCTTCCTCCTCCACATCATCGCTGTCGTCGTCGACGTCCTCCTCCTCCGCCACATCTTCGTCATCCTCGCTGTCCGCCTCCTGCCCCAGCAGCAGCACCATCACCATCACATCCAAGGCCGGCCAGGCAGCCGGCTCCGGAGCAAGTATCAAAAAGGAGCACTCAGAGATTCACTCCTCCAGCAGCGCGGTGACGACGGCGGCCGCCTCCTCGGCGATGTCACCGCCGCCTACGGAGCACCATGCGCGATCCAGCAGCCCGCCCTCGTCGGAAGCGGGGGGCACTGCAGGAGCACCCAGCGGAGGATCAGCCAACGGAGGGGGCGCTGGGACGCGGGCCCCCCCAACGCCGCCTCATAACAACGGGGGCGGGGCATCCAGTTCGAGCAATGGCGGTGGCAGCAGTCGTGCCTCGCCCGACTCCCTGGAGGAGAAGCCCTCGACGACAACGGGACAGCGGCCCCACACCGGACCCACCAACGGTGTCCTCTCGTCCTCCACCTCCACCTGCTCCTCCGGCACCGCCACCGCCTCCGCCTCCTCAGCTAGCAGCAAGCAGAGCCCGGGCGAGGTCAATCTGAGCGTGATCCGATCCGTCAAGGAGGAGCGCCTGCTCACCGTCTCCACCAAGATGCTCGCCTTCCATCAGCAGCGGGAGCGCGAGAGGGAGCAGGAGAGCAAGGCGGCAGCGACAGCAGCGGCAGCGGCGGCTGCGGCGGCAGCGGCCGGGCATGTGACGGTGCTGGTCACCCCGTCGCGAATCAAGTCAGAGCCACCGCCACCTGGATCCCCCTCCTCCACCTCCACCTCCACCTCCAACACACAACGAGAGCGGGAGCGGGAGAGGGAGAGGGAACGAGACAGGGATCGAGACAGAGACAGAGAACGGGAGCGAGAGCGGGATAGAGACCGGGATCGGGATCGGGATCGCGAATCCTCCTCGTCCATCAGCTCCTCCCAGCAGCATTTGAGCCGGGCCAGTCCGCCCCTGGGCGTGGGTCAGCTCTCCCACGGACCGCTGAGCGGCAGCGGGCACGGGCTGTCCACGGCCATCGTCCAGACGCACCACCTGCACCAGCAACTGACACAGCCGCTGACCCTGCGGAAGAACAGCCCGCCAATGGAGCTGCAGCTGGGCCAGAGTCCGCAGCACCTGCTCAGCCAGTCCATGCAGCACCTCACCCAGCAGCAACAGCTCCACCTGCATCACCTACTCGGCCAGCAACAGCAGCAGCAGCAATCGCCCCACCAGCAGCAGCAGCAGCAGCACTCGCCCCACTCCCTGGTGCGGGTGAAGAAGGAGCCGAATGCGGGAACACACACGGGAACACAGCGGCACCTCTCGCCGCACCATCAGCAGCAGTCGCCGCACATGCAGCACCACCAGCAGCAGCAGCAGCAACAGCAGCACCACCAGCAGCAGCAGCAGAGAGAGCCGCCACCGCAGGCGCTGGCACTGATGCATTCGTCGCTCTCCCTGCGCCACCCCAACCGGGACGCGGCTATCCTCTTCCGGGTGAAGAGCGAGGTGCACCAGCAGGTGGCGGTGGGCCTGCCCCATCTAATGCAGTCCGCGGGCGGAGCAGCAGCGGCCGCGGCGGTGGCCGCCCAAAGGATGGTCTGCTTCAGCAACGCGCGAATCAATGGCGTTAAGCCGGAGGTGATTGGCGGCCCCCTGGGAAACCTGCGTCCCGTTGGTGGTGGCGTGGGCGGAGTGGGAGGCAATGGCGGCTCGGTACAGTGCCCGTCGCCGCACCCCTCGTCGTCGTCCTCCTCGTCGCAGCTGTCCCCCCAGACGCCCTCGCAGACGCCGCCGCGCGGCACGCCTACCGTCATCATGGGTGAGAGCTGTGGCGTCCGGACCATGGTCTGGGGCTACGAGCCCCCGCCGCCCTCATCTGGCCAAGGACCTCCCCACTCCCATCCGCATCCACATCCGCAGCAACAGCAGCTGCAGCAGCCACAGTCGCCCCACCAGCAACAGCAGCAGCAGCAGCAACAACAGCAGCAACAGCAGCAGCAGCAGCATCAACAGCAGCAGCAGCAGCAGGGCGGCGTGGTCAGTCAGGTGCAGCACTGCCTCCAGGCGGCACTGCCGTCGCCCTCCGCAGGTTCCATCACACCCTCCCACTCGTCCGGCGGCGGTGGATCGGGTAGCGGATCTTTGACACCGTCGGGGTCGTCGAGCGCGGGGCCGCAGAACAACGAAGAGGCGGCCCAGCTGCTCCTCTCCCTCGGACAGAGCCGCATTCAGGACATGCGGTCGCGCCCCCATCCTTTCCGCACCCCTCACGCCCTCAATATGGAGCGGCTGTGGGCGGGCGACTACTCGCAGCTGCCGCCCGGTCAGCTCCAGGCGCTGAACCTCAGCGCCCAGCAGCAGTGGGGCAGCTCCAACTCGTCCGGCGTGGGCGGAGTGGGTGCGGGCGGAGCCGGCGGCCGAGGCGGGGGCCTCGACGCGCCGCACGAGCCCACGGACGAGGACGAACAGCCTCTGGTTTGCATGATCTGCGAGGACAAGGCAACTGGCCTGCACTACGGCATCATCACCTGCGAGGGGTAAGTTTTTGCCCACGCCTTGGAGATGGCAGCAGCACCCACACCAGAGACTAATCCTCCCCCCATCGCCCCCACCCTCCCCATACTTTTCATCCACAGCTGCAAGGGCTTCTTCAAGCGCACGGTGCAGAACCGACGCGTCTACACCTGCGTGGCGGACGGCACCTGCGAAATAACCAAAGCACAGCGCAACCGTTGTCAGTATTGTCGATTTAAGAAATGCATTGAGCAGGGCATGGTGCTGCAGGGTGAGTACTATCCGCTTCCATCCGATCTTCCCCACTCAGGAGTGAACCTTGAGAGATATTCAATATTCAGACCATATCCCCAAAACTTGTGTAATGCCGAACAACATGGCACTTGATGTTGACCTCCGAACAGTTTTGCGTAGAAACAGACGTCGAAAGGACCCGCAAGCAGTCCGGACTTTATCTTATTATTATCCCAGTAACTGCCACTCGCATGTGGATGGATTTTATAGTATGTGTAGGCTTATCCTGTGTATGGAGGGGGCACTCTTGCTGCCCCCAAATGTTGAGAAGTCCTTCTATAGATTGCAGGACATGCCCTTGGGAATGGCTCCGGTGTGTTCTGCTCCAGTTCACAGAATCTACAGGTTTCTAGCCCTACCTGTTTCAAATTGTGGAGATACAAATTTCCTAATTCAAGCCTGTTCTCCTTGCCAGCCTTTGGCTTGAGCTTCTCTTTTCCCTCCCATTTCCCGATAATTTCCGATAGCCACAGAACCTGATTCTGTGTAAAAATGTGCCATAAGCGAACGGACACGTTCATTTGTCGATCGATTCGGGACTTGTGTCTTAGGTAATATCTTACTATATCTTAATCTCTGGTCCGAGTCCACTTGTGCCGCACAATCGATGTTGGTGTCAAATATTATCCAACGCAGATAAATACTTAGATCTGTGGATTGGTCAGTAGCAGAAAGAAGAATTATAGTACCCTATTCCCTAGGACATCCTGAAGGGAACTCTTCCCATCTGTCAGGAACACTGGCCCTACTCCTTGCGCCTTCCTGTTTTCGCCTGTCTTTTGCTAATCTTTGTCTACTCTCTTCTCTGCGGCAGCCGTTCGGGAGGACCGCATGCCAGGCGGACGCAACAGCGGCGCCGTCTACAACCTGTACAAGGTCAAGTACAAGAAGCACAAGAAGACGAATCAGAAGCAGCAGCAGCAGCAGGCCGCCCAGCAGCAACAGCAGCAACAGCAACAGCAGCAGCAGCACCAGCAGCAGCAGCAGATGCACTCGCCCATCCACCATCACCACCAGCACCAGCAACACCAGCAGCATCAGCAGCACCACCAGCAGCACCACCACAACCAGCATCAGCAGCAATTGCAGGCCCAGCTCTCGCCCCACCACCTGCTCTCGCCGCAGCAGCAGCAACTGGCAGCCGCCGTGGCAGCCGCGGCCCAGCATCAGCACCAGCAACAGCAGCAGCAGCAACAGCAACAGCAACAACAGCAGCAGCAGCAACAGTCAAAGCTGATGGGCGGCGGCGTGGACATGAAGCCCATGTTCCTGGGGCCCGTGCTTAAGTCGGAACTGCTTCAAGCGCAGCCGATGCACAGCCCGGCCCAGCAGCAGCAGCAGCAACAGCAGCAATCGTCACCGCATCTGTCCCTTAGCTCGCCCCTGCAGCAGGGGCAGCAGCAGCAGCAAGGACAGGGACAGGGACAGCAGCACCACAACCACCATCCACATCCCGCTGGGGGCGGTGCAGCCGCACAGCCATCGCTGCCGCCGCACCTGATGAACGGCACCATACTGAAGACGGCCCTGACCAATCCCAGCGAGATAGTGCACCTGCGCCATCGGCTGGACTCGGCGGTGAGCTCGTCCAAGGACAGACAAATCTCGTACGAGCACGCGTTGGCCATGATCCAGACACTGATCGACTGCGACGCCATGGAGGACATCGCCACGCTGCCGCACTTCAGCGAGTTCCTCGAGGACAAATCGGAGATCAGCGAGAAGCTGTGCAACATCGGCGACTCGATCGTGCACAAGCTGGTATCGTGGACGAAGAAGCTGCCCTTCTACCTGGAGATCCCCGTGGAGATCCACACCAAGCTGCTGACCGACAAGTGGCACGAGATCCTTATCCTCACCACTGCCGCCTACCAAGCGCTGCACGGCAAGCGCTCCAGCCAATCCGGAGCGGGATCAGCGGCCACGGGAGCATCAGTCGGAGCCGGAGCCGGAGTCGGCAATGCCAACAACCATGGAAGTCGTCATGGCTCACCCGCCTCCACGCCGACGCCCACGCAGACCTCAATGTCGATGTCCTCGCCCGCCCAGCCCCTGCATAAGGACGATCCGGAATTCGTGAGCGAGGTCAACTCCCATTTGAGCACCCTGCAGACCTGCCTGACCACGCTGATGGGCCAGCCCATCGCCATGGAGCAGCTGAAGCTGGACGTCGGCCACATGGTGGACAAGATGACCCAGATCACGATCATGTTCCGGCGCATCAAGCTCAAGATGGAGGAGTACGTCTGCCTCAAGGTCTACATTCTCCTGAACAAAGGTACGTGAGCACGTCTTATCCCCCATCCCAAAAGGGTGTTCTCATGCCGTCTCCTCTTGTCCTTGTCCTCCTCAGCAGAAGTGGAACTGGAAAGCATTCAGGAGCGGTATATCCAGGTGCTTCGCTCCTACCTTCAGAACTCGTCGCCCCAGAACCCCCAGGCGAGGCTGAGCGAGCTGCTCTCGCACATACCAGAGGTAGGTCTAACTCCAGAGCTCCAACTCTCTTGATCCCGCTCGATCTCGATGACAAGCATCCACTAATCCTTCCTCCCCGATCTCCCATCTCTTCCCAATCTGTGTCCCCTGTAGATCCAGGCTGCTGCCAGCCTGTTGCTCGAGAGCAAAATGTTCTATGTGCCCTTCGTGCTCAACTCGGCGAGCATAAGGTAGCAGATGCTTGAGCACGGCCTGCTGCCCACCACCAACCACCTTCCAGCACCAGCCCCAGCACCATCTCCGACTTCACGCGGACCACCTGCTGCACTTACGGAGGCGGTGCAGGAGCGGCAGCAGCAGCAGCAGCAACAGCAGGAGCAGGAGCAGTCAGCAGGAGCAGCGGCAGTGCGGCGCAGGAGCCGGACGACCCAGCAGGCTCAGCTGCGGGACCTGCCCAAGATTAAAATCGAAATCGGGATCCCCAGGGAGCAGCAGCAGCAGCAGCAGCCGCAGTTGCAGCCGCAGTTGCAGGGCAGGCCAACATCCACCCCCACGTCAACGTCAACGTCAACGTCCACGTCCATATTGAAGACTTCGCTGCTGAGTGGGGCGGCGGCCACTTTGGCCACCCTCACGGCAGCTGCCGAGCAGATTGCACGATCATCGACCACAGCCAACGACACTGCCATGGACTACTCCCACAGCAACAACAGCAGCAGCAGCGGCAGCGGCAGCTACCACAGCGGCAACAGTTTAGAAGAGAGCAAAAGACTTGAGCATAAACAACTGCAACAACAACCACAGCAGCAACAACAGCAGCAACAGCAACAACAACATCAATATACATCAATTCTACAAACGGCCTTAATGTCACATCGCCCCATGCCAGCCGCAACATCCTCGGAAATAGCACCAGCAACTGCCACGGCGGTAGCCACGGCATTGACCAAGACCAAGACGATGCCCACGTCACCGACACCTGCCCACGTGCTGAAGACGGCGGTGACATTGGCCAATCTAAGTGAGATTGCCACTGCACGCCAGCAGAAGCAGCAATTGCTGGCGTTGCAACAGCAACAGAAACTGCCCAGAAGGATAATCAATTTTACAAGCAACACTGCCACAAAAGGATTGGGAATGGGATTGGGAGCGGTAACAGGAACGGGAACGGGCATGGCGACGTCAGTAACCAAACAATTGCCATCTGCAACAGCTACAGCCACAGCAACATCAACAGCAACAGCCACGTTGAGCGACAAGCTGGGTCACAGTCAGAGTCACGGTCAGAGCCAAAGTCAGATGGCAAATGGTAAGCAGAAACAATCGTGAGCTTTGCGGTCCATAACATTGTCCAATACCGTTGCCAGATCGAACATCGGCGCGGCTGCTCAACGGCCACTGTAGCAGCCGCACCCGCACCCGCACAGGAACAACTAGTGACGTAGCAACGGGTGGACTATCAGTAGCTATCCACACTGCCGACATGCACACACAGACCGATGATGAGCTGCCACTTTTGGACAGTGCCATGCCCCAGATAGCTCCTACAGCAACTGCAACTGCAACACCATCATCATCATCATCATCATCATCACCATCAACAACAACATCAGCATCGACTTCATTATCATCTCGCGCAGCAATGCAGCAACAACAATGGACTGCCGTGTCGACGACGCCAGCAACAGGAATGATGATGACGACGACGACACAACAATCACAAGCAACATTAGCACCACCACCAAGAACCACAACCACAACCACAAGAACAACAACAGCAAGAACAACATCCACACCAGCACCACAAAACAATACCAATACCAATACCAATACCAACAGCAACAACAACAACAAGAATTACAACAATAGTAATAATAATAGGAATGCCACTGCCACAGCCACAGCCACTGCCACGCCCACACGTGGGCCCCAGCGCACGCCCGCGACCTCAGCTTCTGTTACTGTAGTTGTGTTCAAAACAATGTTACCTGATGACTGAATTATTTTAGAATCGTACACGTAGAGCATGTTTTATTATGATTATGATTATCATTATGATTATGATTATGAATACGGTTACGATATGATTACCACTTATGATTATGCTTATGCTTATGCCTACGATTATCATTAACTATTAACTATTAGTTGTTAGTTATTATGGATTCATTGATTATGGACTATTATTACTATTACTATAGCTTACTATTGCTACATGCATAATGTAGAGCCTAATGTCTGTCGTGAGGTCTGGTTTTTATGTAGCCAGCCCATCATCGATCACCCTGTACTATATCCCGCAACGTAAACACACTCACATACATACAAACATACAAACAAAAGCATTGATCCTCACTCACAACCCACACCCACATCCACAGCTACACCCCACACAGAGAGAATCTTCTAACCTAAAAGTGGGGTTCAAGAATTAATCATGTAATCATTTTTTATTGTTTACCCAGCTCTGCGGGGAGGAGGAGACAGAGAAGGAGAGTTAGAGAGATAGAGAGGAGCATTGAGATTGGAGAAGAGTGTTAACATCTATGCATAACGAGTACGATAACGAGTATGTAGCGAGTATGTAACGAGTATGTAACGAGTATGTAATGAATATTTAATGTTTATGTAGCCACAATGCCACACACAGCTATAGCCAAGCATTTAGGATGCGTGCATATGTCAGATAATAATTTTTTTTTTTTTAATCTATGTAAAGACTAGAAATATATAAATGTATGTATTGTAAAATGGTGAAGCACCGACAGAAAAGAAAACGAGCGAGCAAGAAAGGTAACGAGAGGTAACGAGAGATGAGAAACCAACCACATAAAGTATAAATAGTAGAGTCCATGTAGCATAGAAACCATCATCCTTGTAAGGCCTTGTGTAGTAGAGAAATTTTCGATGAAGCTGCGGACAACTCCGGGTGGGTGGGCTCTCCATAGGAGTGCAGGATCACACAGTACCACTCAGAGTCGTTCACACACGGGGAGTATAATATGTTATGTTGTTAGTTCCCCTTCCAAACCACGCCGATCCCAAGACCCAGCCCCAGCCCCAGCCCCACCCCAACCCTCCCCTCACATGTTATATACATACATACTAGATATATATATATATATATATACTATATTATATACTACTATATGTATATGGTTGGGAGTAGATACTGCCACAGCATAATGCATCTTACTTTGACGACCCTCACATTTGCCCGATTATTTATCGTATTGTGTGTGGGGGCGTGGGCAAGGGCGAGGGCGAGCGCGAGCGCGAGCGCGAGGGTGGGTGAAAAGAAGGTGAACAAAAGTGAGAAAGTGGGGTGGCAGAGACACACACATATATACATATATAATACGAGCAGAAAGGAGCACACCCACACACACACACAAACACACACTATACCTATACCTAAGTTAAGAACGCATAATCACGATTTTACATATAGGATATACCAATGTATGCATACAACACCGACCCACACATACACATAAATCTAGCTCTAATTATGCATATTATTTTTTTTTTAATATACATACATACCTACATATATACACATCCACACTTATATATGTATATGCATATATATATATATACATATGTATTTATATACAGATTTATATATATGTATGGATACTACACATAAATTACGCATAGAGCATACATACAAGAGAAAAATGAATGATGAGAAATGAAAGAAAAACTAAGGAAAAACAAAGAAATGAAGAGCAAAGGATTTTTTGTTAAGACGATTACGCAATTTTAAATCGTAATCGTGTTGTCGTAACCCTATTCGCCTATCGCCCATGGCGATATTGATGCCCGGATTGTTATCGATATCGTCGTACTACGTTTTATTTTGTAAATGTATTAATTTTGTTGATTTTTTTGCTGTCTGTATACATTTTTTTAACAACATTTTTGAATAAATGTAATTCTTAAAAAGTTGTTCTTTTCCATTTACTTTTGTTTTCTTTTGTATCCCTCCTGCCCGGAACCCTGAACCCGGACCACTAAAGCCCCGCCCATTGACGACCGCACTTGCTCGCACTGTGTTAGGGATCGACCGACTTCCCACACGATCGTATTGTACATAGAGAGAAGTTATCCCGCTTGCAGGCGAAGAGCCCAGCACTCTGTTAGGAATCGGATATGTTTATCCGCTATATATGGTACCTTGTATTGGAACAGTCGATAGAGAGACTGGCCCCAAGAAATTCTCCTCTTTCCCGACAAAATCGTACCCGAATGAAAAATGAAATATACTTTAGTATGTTTGTCTTTCCGTTTATTTGGGGAATGCCGATGCTCGTCATATGTACATACAAGGGGAGATCTTACAAAAAATAATGCTGCACTATTCTTAGATCTGTTATCCACAGATATCTGCTTCCCATGGCAGTTCCTCCTCAGAGACACAACTCGATCCAGCACTGGACCGCCCTGAAAAGTATACACCGAAATATGTCAAGAAATTGCTGGGCCAGATGGGAGTGAGTGAGTCAGTCGTGAGTAGTTGATCCAGTGCACTCTCATGCAGATGCAGATGCAGATGCAGTCCAAGCCATAGTGCTGTTTTTGGTTTGGTTTATTTCATTGGAAGGCACCTGAAACTGAGAGCAAGGAAACGTAGTAGAACAGAGTCTGTTAGAACTGAATTATAGATTTTTATTGCGAAGGCCATATTTACTTGGCCATAGCTTGTATAGATAGTAAAACCATAGATTCCCAGATTCCCACACCCGATCAGCCCTCCCTCTATCGATCTACCACTCATTATACACACTTAAACATAAAGATAATAAAACGAGAACGCGAACGAGAACGAGAACGATAACGAGAACGGATAGCGACATCCCAAAACCAAGCTAAAACCAAAACGAAGACGAGAACAAGGAGGCGAAAACCATGATGAGAGAAATGTTAAAAAAAAAAGAAAAGAAAATGAAATTAAGAAAGAGTCTGACATCAAATTGCCTTCAAACATTATTTTTGATTTTTTTTTTCCGTAGTGAGTTTTTTTACAAGCAAACAATGAAAACAAAAAAAGAATGAAAAAATCAAATACGAATACGAAATAGCAAATAGCAAGAATATTTAAATAACGTATACATGCATACATATATGTGAATTTTCATAAGCGAATAAATAATACGAGTTCGTACGAGAGCTACCGCATACGATATGGCAATACATATAGGAGGGATCTGGCGAGATAGTCGGGCGGGGCA